CTGTGTTCACACTTGCACAAATGAACTGCACCAGGTAGGAAAATGAACCGGGAGTTCAATTGAAATGGATTAAACACCGCAGTTGTGAAAACACCATATAAATATGAGAATACACCCCTGCAGCAGTTTATATGCTATAAAAAGAGGAATAGGATAAGAGTTCAACTCTAAGGCCCATGTTATTTCTTTAATGGTATATTTCTAAAAAAAAAAGATTTGTTGTATAAAAGTGTAATATACTGCAGCCATGCAAATCATTTTTGCTCAGCTAGGATATGTTCACTATATGTTGGCATATTAAAATAAGTAACATGTTACCTGAGTTTCCGGCTGAGAACCTGACTCCAACTTCCAGGGGCTGCACAGAGATCCACTGCTCTGTTTACACCTAAAAAAGAAGAAAACAGACATTTATCAACAGACACAATAGTACAAGGGCTGGCAGTGAGTTTTTCATGTCACTGTGGAGAAATTTTGGCCCACTATTCTTTACAGAATTATTTTAATTTAGCCACATTAGAAGGTTTGTAAGAATGTATGCCCTATAAGCTCATGACAAAACATCTCAATACTAAATCATTTTATATCATGAAAAAGTCACATCAGGGTTTTCTAAAGAACCCCTTTTCTACATATTATACATATACTAAACTATTGATAAAAGTCTTTCTCAGGTGACCTATGGGTCTCACCTGTGAACAAGTTGAACTCTTGATCGAGCTGCAGCAGCTTGAAGGCGCTCCTCGCTCTCCAGCCCTCCTCTTTGGCCAGTCGATAGTAAATGTCTCGTTTGTCTTTGGAGGACCGACCCATATTGACCTATGACCCCTCTGAAGGAAAACACACAGTCACAATGGCCCCTATTCTTTTAGAGCTATTATCGCTATAATGGAAGCTGTCTGTATAACACAGGCTGTATTTCTTGAGTATTGTTGCATTTGGATTTCGGTTACTACAGGAGAAGACCCGCTGCATGGCTGTCCGTCCTTGTTGTTTGAAGGTAGGTAAGCGTCTTTGTGTGAATTAAATTCAAGTTCATACTACACAAAACACGTAAAAACACAAAGACTGGTTCACGACATCCAGACTCACTTACTTTCACGTGGGCTTTGCTGTTGTCAACTGTGAAAAGGCTCTTCTTCTTTTCGTCCTTCCGCCTCTTCTTCTTCTTTGGTGTTTAACGGCAATTCGCATCCAGGATAGTGCATTACTGCCTCCTGTAGGATTGTCGAATCATTTAAGGTCACTAGCCAATCATTTTGCTTCTTGATCCTCTTATGTCGCCAGAGGTGGGAAGTAACGAAGTACAAATATTTCGTTAATGTACTTAAGTAAAGTATAGATACCTGAAAATTGTACTTGAGTATTTATTTTTCTGAAAACGTTACTTTTCCTCCTACATTTTCACATAAATATCTGTACTTCCCACTCCTTTCATTTTCAAAATAGACTACTTTCGGTTTAACATATTTGAAGTGATTTTTAATTTCATGCCACAGCGGGCCTTCAAACATTAAACCGATTTGAGCCAACACAGTAAAACATGAAAGATAGTCCTAATGGTGTGTCAATCACCAGGGGTTAGCGTACTTCAGCATCTACCTAGCTCTACAGAAGAGAAGCATGTACAAAGGGGGTAACATTTTGTAAGTGTAAGTATTTTCAAATGTAAGGTTTATGTCAGCTCAACAAAGACACAGACTGTTTGTTTCTCACACAGTGTGTCTGCTAGCTAAAGGTGTATCTGCTGCTACACTTAACTTTACTCAGAGGTGGAAAAAGATAAGAAAGTCAGGACAGGATAGGAAGAAGAGAAGTTGTATTTAAAATTAAGGCCTAGCCAGTGGGATTTGATGAGGGGGAAATTTAAAGCTAACATGTAAATCCTCATTTTTAAAAATAAGATATTTGCTCTGTATATGACATTGTTTTGCAGGATGTTTCATATTGTGAAACATCCTGCAAAACAAACTGAGGTATAGCTTAGTAACTTTGTATTATTGAAAGGTTGCATGAAAATACTGTGCAGTTTAATGCAGGATAAACAGGTTGGTTTGCTGTACTGTGTCGGACTGGTGCACAGAAGCTGTGATGTTCTTGGTCATGGGTAGGTTAAATGAAGGGAATTGGAAATTATTTTACATTTTTGGTGACGACACGTAGATTCATTCACTGAATTCCACCTTCATACCAGTTTTATACTGTTTAGCATAAAGCATATTAGGACTGAAAGTTTATATTCCTTTGTACTAATATAATTTTATCATATTAATACAGGATTCAGTTGGCTTTGCACAGTAATAACTCATAGCCTGCAAATGGCCTTAAAAGACTACTTTTTACTTTCTTACTTTGAGTACATTTCAGAGGCTGCACTTTTTCACTTTTCATTGAGTAAAGAAGTAAAATCAGTACTTTAACTTTTACAGTATTTATAACATAAGTATCTGTACTTCTACTTAAGTACAGAATGTCTGCACTTTTGCTACCTCTGAGGAAAACTGAATAGTGCTGCCCTTACTAAATCACTGTACGCCACTTCTACGTTGTACATTATGTCCTTGACTCAGTTTCCATCATTTCTTTCCTTATTCTCATGGATTGTCTGCATGACAGAAGAACACACTTAACTGCCTCAGTCTTGTGACCGGAGTTGTTATAGGTTTGTAGTTTCATAACATTTTTCAGACTGAAAGTGAAATATTATAAAATACTGACTCGATTAAATTGCGTTAATATTTAAAAATATCTTTTCTAAAAAAAATTAAAAATCCCAAGCCAATAAAAATGTACATGGGCCAGTAAAACTGAGCCACTGACCTGAGGGATTTGAACTTGGACACTGAATTATTGTTAATATTGATTAACATGTACACCAACATACCCTCAACACAAGAACTTTGCATCAAAGCACAGGGCAAACTTCAGAATGCTAATATACTTGCTTCTCAACATTGCAGCCACCACATTTCACTTTAAAGGCTTGCAGAAACAAACTCACTCATTTACTTGCACACTTAAACACACAGACGCACATGTACAAAAACTCATAAAGCCTTCAAGGAAGAAAACGTAAAGATGAATTTTTACGCTTTACTTTAGATCTTTTTTTAACAAATGAAACAGATGTTCCACAGCCCTCAGCCTCCAAATTACAGCATGTACATCATTTGATGCAGTCCAGTGGCAATCCTAGACTTGCTGGGTCTCTTGTCAGATGGGGGACTGGCCCTTTGCCTTAGCTAGGTAGGTGCATGATGTTGTGGCCAGGTGGCTGCAGCCTGACCCTTCCCCGCGAGAAGTTTTCGTGCTGAACATGGTGGTTCTGGAGCAATCCATGGAGGGGCTCCTGGCTGGGACAGCAAAGTGAATCCGCTGTCACCGGTCCTCGAGCCTTGAGATTGCCGTGACCCTGGCTGAGGACCATCCGGCAGTGCGGCTAGCTCCATCGCGGGAGCAGCCGAGGCCAGCGGCAGGAAGTCAGGCAGACCTGGCCTTAACAAGGTTTCTCAAGGTTCTGCTGAGCAGCAGCCATTTCCTTTGATTAAATGCATTGTCTCTCCACAATTCCCGGCAGCCACAGAAACTGTGCCCAGCTGTTCAGAAGCCGTGCAATTGTCAGGGCAGAAGTGCTGGAGATGCGGGCAGCATGGACACATCCTCATGATGTTCCACGGCACCAGCCCTCCGACAACTTCCCCTGGTTCAGGAGAGACATACTGCAGTCCAGTAACATACTAAGAGGGTATATACCAGGCAATGGTAAACTCCGGCTACATGCAAATCCTGGTTTGCACAGAGTAGGACTGTGTAGGATTTCTTTAAGTTAAAAAAGTGTTTTTAACCTTTACCTATTTGTTATTCAGTCACATAAAAATTAACCATGTGAAGGAGAGATTGGCACCTGTCTGGCAGTTGTCAACTTTTAGCTTTCCAGCACGCAAAGTAAAACAGTTGCCATATTTTTACATGACTACATGTTTCTGCAGAGCCGTACAACATAACCTACATGAGTGGCCAACATTACTGCTGGCCGTCACGCTTGTGTGTAGAGTATTAAACAAACTTATTATATTTGGCTTGCCATAAATGTTCCTGTAGACAGTTCTGCTCTTCAAAGCTGATCATACCTACATTATGAGGGCCTTGACCCTGATTGACAGCTATTAATAGAGAAAGACTGAGTCAGAGTACTGGTGGTGGCAGCTGTGACAGGGAAAAGCTGTGTAGTATAGTGAAAAGAATTGAGACCAATATTATCTGCTTCTATATAAAAATATATATATATATATATAAAAAAGTTTAATTGGAATAATGTCCATGAAGAAACCTTTCCTGCCAGGATTCTACATTTCAAAATGTCAACAAATAAAATATTTTAAAAAACAATAAAGAAGATAACAAAATACAATAAATGCATACAAAAGTATATACATATAACAAAAATGCATGTTTTCAAAATAAAAAACACAATATTTGCATTGACTGTGCATCTTATACCCTGACAAACAGATGAGGTTGACTGCAGGTATTCCCTGTCAAGCACACTGGATGTGGACACATTTTAAGTAAAATCAGCCCTGCGAGAAAAAAAGCCCAATCAACTAAAAAACCGACTGTCCAGATGATTGTTTAACCATAGAAACAAGAAACAAAAAACAAACAAACAAAAAAGTGTTACATTGCAGACTAACTAAATATATCTGGAAGACTTAAAATCCCCTGCAGCCTTACAGACGATTAGATGTTCCATTGCCCTGATGTGGCTGCACACAGCAGAATTTAACCAGATGTTCAAAAATGTTTTCATTTTCAACGTCTAGAGCAGGGGTGCCCAATCCCGGTCCTCGAGAGCTACCGTCCTGCAGCTTTTAGATGCATCCTTGTTCCCACACACCCGAATCAAATGAATGGCTTGTTATAAGGCCTTTATCAAACATGATGGCATGCTGAAGAGGTAATCAAACCATTTGATTCAGCTGTGTTGGAGTAGGGATGCATCTAAAAGCTGCAGGATAGTAGCTCTTGAGGACTGGGATTGGGCAGCCCTGGTCTAGAGATTCTCTCCCTTTGCAGTCTGGTTTTTGCCAATGAATGACACTTTCCCCATAGCAGCTTTAAATAAACAAATTCAAGGCACTTTTAACGCAGCACAAAGCTGCGCCACAGCAGCAAACTTCATCCACAACTGTGAACAACTCCCACCGACATGTCATAGACACTGAAGGACAGCTGTCAGTCAAGTCCAAACCATGCCCACCATGAGATTCTACTGGTTGGGAGGGGAGTAGGAGGAAGATGGATTCAAGAAGGAGCAGGAGGTGTTATCTTTGACAGCATGAAGTGTGATGGCTGCCTCGTCTGTTCGCTGAGCCCTGCTGCCCATCAACCAAGGGTGGAGGAAGATCTGCTCCAGGGTTGGCCGGTCGGACGGCTGCTGGCACAAACACCAGCCAATCAGCTGCTGGCACTCTGCAACAGAAAGATAAACTACTAGTACAAAAGCTTGAGGCACAACACACTGACCAATGACCAATCATTTATATCAGGGGTCTCAAACTCCAGTCCTTGAGAGCCGCTGTCCTGAAACTTTTCCATGTGTCCCTATTGCAGCACACCTGAAGACAATTAGTAGGTCATTAGCAAGACTGTAGAACTTGAGTGCATGCTGAGGTGGCAATTCAGCCATTTGATTCATCTTACAGCAGCTCATGAGTGAATGAACATGGTGCAAAAGTATTTTTAGAAGTACATTTTTCCAAACACTTACATTAACTTAAATTTACTTGAGTAGGGTTAGGGGTTGACACTTCAGCATGCAGTTCTATGCTCTTGCTAATGACCTAATTTTATTCAGGTGTGTTGCAACAGGGACACCGGCCCTCAAGGACTGAGACCCCTGCAATAGGGTGAGTCACAACAATCTGAGTTTCCAGCTCTTATACACAATCTTGTCATTGCACTGTCTTTGTAAATACTGGCACTTCTTTTTCTGCCATAATCCAGCTTGCACTGGCACAGTGTGTTAGTAAATAGAGTCAATCAACTCAGAGTGGATGAAGTTGTTTCATGAAACAGAGCCCAGGATAGCCTCTTTCATGCTTCATGCTTGTGAGCATTTGTGTGTATGATGTCAGTTCATTGGTCAGTTTTCCCACCCTCTTTGCCACTAAAAATGCCAATGCTGCAAAACAGGAACAGAGACAATAGACAATTTCTATCACTGGGTAGACTGACCCGAGGAGACTTTCCGCCTGAAATAGATCTGTCCCGTTAGGATCTCCTCGTCATGTTCAAAGGGGATGTCGCCACACACCATGTCATACAGCAGCACACCGAGTGACCAGACGGTGGCTGGTCGCCCATAGTATCGATGGAATCGGATCCACTCTGGAGGACTGTATACTCGTGTCCCTGCAGGGAGGACAAATACAGAAAAGCATCAGGCATTTTAAAGCCAAGCAATGGCTCCAGCTGCAACTCCTGGCTGCCTATAGAGTCAGGAACATGTCCTCCTCATCAATGAAGGCAACTTTCTGAGCATAATGATCCATCTCTAAATAGTAATTTTGTGTGTGTGAGTGGGGGATGTGTGGGTGGGAGCACAAAATAGTGACAGACACAAAAACAGTGACAGATAATGGGACATTTGGACTCACCATCAAACTCTGTGTAGACAGTGTCTTTAAGAACAGCCCCTGAGCCAAAGTCAATGAGTTTGACCTGCTCGGTCCTCAGGTCCACCAGCAGGTTCTCGTCCTTAATATCACGGTGGACAACGCCACAGGCATAGCAGTGACGTATGGCCTCCAGTACCTGCAGGAAGAAGCCACGTGCTGCCTCCTCATCAAGAGCGCCACGCTCTGTGATGTAATCAAACAGGTCCTGACATGGCTTGGGATGCTCCATCGCTATAAACCAGCCATCCGCCTGCTCCCACCAATCCAAGAGCTGCACCACGCCAGCAAAGGTCCCACTCACTTTCTTCAGCAGCACAATCTCTAAAGGAATTAAAGCTCCGGACTGAGAGAGCAATTTAAATAATCAGGATGTCGTCCTTTAAATTACATCAAGTTAAATACAGATAAAAGTATGCAAAGAAGAGGAAGACGATCATGTGGGTTTTTATGAAGAATGGCACATGAGGACCAACAGGTTGCTGGAAATCCAAACAAATCCAAAAACAAGGAACTAAGGTGTTTGGGGTGTTTTGCTTGGTAAAAAATTTATGATTATAAAGACAAGATATACTTTATTTGTCCCAAGAGTTGTGATGTTCCTTTGTTACAGCAGTTTATAAAGTTAAGGTAAACAAAACCTATATCCTGATTTTTAAATCATTTAATGCATTCATGCAACAAGCACCTCATCCTACAGAAGCACACGCACTCTGACAGTGGCTTTTTTGTCTAATGATAACCAGTCATGCAACTATACCAAAGCATGCAAAGAACACAAGGAAACTGGGGGCACAGTAAGAAGCTTCATGGGCCATACATAGCAGCAGTAGAAAGTTAGACTTAGTTATTGACCAGACATATTCATTAGAGGTGGGAATCACCATACATCTCACGATACGATATTATCGCAATACTTAACGCACGATACGATATTATTGCAATTTTTTTAAAATATTTTGCGATATTCAGATTCTGTACATAAAGGTAAACTATCAATATTCATTTTATCTAATATCAAAGTCTCACACTCAGTCTCTCTCTCATTTCAGTCAGTTTTATTGTTGACAAACTGATCGGTTTGTTTTACAGTCTAGTCCAACTTAACTGAATGCAACCATCTGGCACAATTATAGCTATTCTGAACTATGCAATTTGTGAAACCTATGCAGCCTCTTCAGCAACTGAAGAATTTGAAAGTAAATTAAAACAAAATATAATTTTACATTAAATAAAAAAGTTTTAAACTTAATTAAAATAAAACATGTCTTAAATTAAAATAAGTAAACTGTCATCTTTATTGCTGCCAAAAAAAAAGTTAAACACATTTGGACAGTGAAGGAATGTCAGGATTCTTGCTCAAAAAAAGGATCAACATGCTCTGAAGTCGGAGCATGTTCCAGTCCACAAAAACTTTTTTTGTAACAAAATATCGATTTCTGCTGTCCCTGTATCGATACATTATTAGCAAACAAAATATCACGATACTACACAGTATCGATTTTTTCCCCCCACCCCTAATATTCATTTTATTCATCTATTTGTGAACACGAAAGATAATTTCACATAGTAATAGAAGCTGAAGTGGTAAGAAAACAGGTAGTAAGGGAATTAAAACTGTTAAACTGCAAGTAGAAATGCAGGCAGCCCTTACCAGAGAACCCCACTCAGTCACCCGATCCTTGCTCACATGTTTCACTGCCACCTACATGTAAATAAACACCATCAAAATATTATAAACATATCCTCAGAATAAAACTGAATAAATTCTCTTTCTATACTAAAATACAAACCATCATACAGCAGCTTTAGGGTAGATCTGTGCATGCTGATAATATGAATCTTTTGGTCTAACAATGTTGTTCCTGATTTATGAAATAACTTTATTTTCCCACCGTAATTAAAATAACTATTATTGTCAAATTCCTACTTCCAATAAGTAAAGATTTAGCAGAAGGAACAGAGAGTAAAGCACTTTTGTTTAATAACCGGCTTTCTTTGTGACAACAAAGACATGAGCCAGGCATGCCAGCACTGAGTCAAGCTGCACAGCTGATAGCAGTAAAAGAGGAAGTAAGAGTGACAGATGTGGGTTTTAAATAAAAGCAGCATCTGAAAAAGTTTTTTTTTTTTATTCCGAACTGACAAAAAGAAACGGAATTTTCAATTTTTTGTTAATTACATAATAAAATGATGATAGATAAAATTACAGCTATGGAAAATTGTAATGATAATGTAGGCGAGAAGCCAATACTTTTAACAGACTAAGGAGATGCTGTAATTGAAAACAACAATTAAAAAAACAAAAACAAAGCCTAGATTAATTGAATTCATATGAATGTGACACATTTACTGGAGAAAACAACAAGATTTAAGTTCAGAGCAGACTACAAGTCATGTAGACACTGGTCTTAAATAAAACAATGCCTCTTCATTCTGGCTGTTGAAAGACTGGACCAAATTAACAAAGACTGAAAAATTAATGACTGTCAATTCATTATTTCAATTCAATTAATTCGTATTTGAGATAATTGTTTTCATTTAGTCTCAAATTCAGTCTTCCTTTTTAATGCAAGAACCTTGAGGCCTAATACAAAATATTTAAGTAGGATTGTCAGTTATTGTTTTTAAACTCGAACATTCAAGTACGGCTTGATTTTGAAGGGTCAAACAGGAAACTCAGCTGTCTGCTACAAGGCATCTTGACAATGAGAGTTGGCCATGTGCTGCGACCAAAACAAAGCCGCCCCTCGGTTCTTACCGGCAAACCATCAGCGAGGCGAACAGCTGAGTAAACGGTACCGAATCCCCCACTGCCGAGAACCGGACCCAGCCGGTACTGCTTCTCAAGCGACTGCTTCTCTGCGTTGGCTGCAGAGCACAGGCAAGAAAAGTCAGGGCTAATCAAAGTCATGTCAACTTTGCAAATAAACCCCAACATAGTACGTCCCGCGATTAGAACTGCGTGTAATCGTCGACACAAACGTACACATCACCGAATACACTTGCAACGTTTAAAGCAAAGACAAAAACTCACTTTACGTTATACAAGACACCTAGATGTCAAAATGGTCCCGTCCTTGGCCTGAAAATGTCCTAATTTAAACAATGATCGCCATGTATTCGGCAGATATATGAAACTTTAAGTGGTTTAAGTCCCTCCGATTGGGGTAAAGGTGTCCTAGCTCCATTCAGGCTGAGTTGATTTCAATACTTAAAATAATAATAATAATAATAATAATAATAATAATAATAAATTCATTTTAGTTTAGTCACATGTTAGCTAAATGAATAACTAAGTCCAGAAAAATCTGTATTTTGTATCAGATGACCCAGATTTTCCAACCCGATTCGAAATCCCGGCTTCGAATTATCCATTTCTGATTAAGACTTGAAGCGTGGCGGGTAAAATAAAGTGACGTGAAATGGACACAGCTGCGAAGTCGAGGCTGTTACCTTGCAGGAGCTTCACCGGCAGGTCCATGCTGAACGACATGTGTGAGAGGGTGTCCAGTTTAGAGAGCAGCATGCTGCTCCTGACTTCTCCCGAATAATTCAACCGCACCGAGAAATTATTGGCGCTATACATCCTCAGGAAAAAAAAAACAGTCCTCGGCTCCTCTCACGGGAGAGATAAACATAACCTAAAATCCATTCCGGATGTGGTCCACAGAGCGCAAACCCCGAAGTCTGAGGTTGCTCCGCTATAACGCTGCTGCCAGTATATACAAGAAAATCCTTCCGCCTGACCCCCGCTGACACACCAAATTGTACCACAAAGCTTGCTGCATTAAAACTACACGAACACACTTAAATGGAATAAAAAACAAAGGGGCCCCATGTTTTAGGTAAATGTGAAGTCATTTTCTTGAAAATGTAGTCGTAATTCAATGAGAAACCCACGGCCTAGTTTATTCTTTACGCGACTAGTGCAGGGATTCGGAGACGGTCACTCGGCAATGCTGCAGCACACCAAAAACGAAAAAGCGCTTCCCCCAACAATAAACGAATAAATAAATAAATAATGTTAAAATGCAATGATTTTAATATTTGAATTAAAATGATATTATTGTTTATGGTAATAAGGTTGGTTGGACAATGTGAGAGAAAGTTAATATGATGTCGTTTTTGTTTTGTTTTTTTCCAAACCATTCGCTAACGACTGGTAATGGAGATGATTTGCTATTGGAAGCTCCAGTTACTCATATGTTACTTTTTGGGTCAATGTGAAGATTTAATTTTGTTGTACCATTGATTGTCCATGTTATGTGTAGACCATCAAGACCACTGTTGTTAAATACCATAAAGTAGCAATTTTAAGTTATAAAAGTATTGTACTAAAAAAAGATTTCTTAAGGCATATTTGTTTTATATCAAAAAGCAAATGTAAATTTGGGGCAAACTGATTTTTTGATTTTGTATCAGCAACAACCACTAACCCTGTATTCACCCCTTTCAGTCCTGTCCACTACATGAATGTGACCCCGATCATTTGTTCTCTGCTATATTTAGCTGCTTCTATTTTAAAGCCTGTGCAATAACTGATCCACTCTAAAGAGTGAGTCACTGCTCTTGTGCTCTACTCCAAGAGCTTTAACCTGTTGTGTAATTTTTACAGAGGATATTTGTTACTGCCAGCAAGTTATAATGTCAGTGTACAATGGAGAATCAGAGGACAGTGACCGCTTCAATGGTGCAGACTGTGAAAGGTATCTACCATGTGCTGGCTCTGGTCTCGTCTCGGCTAAACTAACTATTGTGGTTGGAGACAGACAGTTCTCTGAGGAGAAAATGTTACTGGTGCAGAGCTGCGACTATTTTCAAGCTCTGTATCGCTCCGGTATGAAGGAATGTCAGCAGGAAGAAATCCACCTCAAGTCTCTGCGAGCTCAAGGATTCCTTTTAGCTTTAGCAGTTTTACATGGAGAGAAGCCAATTCTGGATGAGGACGACATTGTGGAAGCCATTGAATGTGCAGCTTTCTTGCAGGTGCCCCCACTTACTAGGCATCTTATTGACCTTCTTGATGCAGAAAACTGTCTGCTGATGTATCACACCTCTGCAGTCTTTGGACTTATGGATCTGTACCATGCAGCAGCACTGTTCATTCGAGACATGTACACTGACCTTGAGGTAGAGGTCAAGAAAACCTTACCATTAGAGCTTATCTCTTATGTGGAGTCTTTGACCCCCCATGTTTTCATGGCTGTAGGAGCCCATGTGACCTGTGGTTTGGATGAAACTGTACATGCTGCCTCAAGGACCATCTGCTACCTCAATGAAACTGGCAATACTTGGAAAGTGTTAACAGATCTTCCACTAGAGGCCAGCACCTCAATGGCTGGAGTGACTGTTTTAGACAACAAACTGTTCATAATTGGTGGCATTCATGGCATCCATAAACAAGTTGTGGAATCTTGTTTTTGCTACAGTGTTGAAAGCAACAGCTGGAGCAGGATTCCCAGCCCAGCACAGCTGCGTTACAATCTTAGCCTTATGGGTCTCCATGGTCATTTATATGCCATCGGAGGGGAGTATGAGCGAACAGTAATGTCGTCTGTGGAAATATACAATGTAAAAAACAGAACGTGGACATTTGCTGCTAACCTACCTCGGCCGGCAGCAGGAGCAGCTTGCACCAAAACCATGAGCAGGATATTTGTGTGTTTATGGAGGCCAATGGAGACCACTGAGATCTACGAGTATGCATCTGGGGAAAATGAGTGGCATCTAGTTACCACACTGATCAGGCACCAAAGCTATGGTCACTGCATGGTGGGCCACAGGGACAACCTCTTCATCATAAGAAATGGCCCATCTGATGACTTCCTAAGATGCCTCATAGACTGTTATAATCTGAGCTTGGGCCAGTGGTCAACCCTGCCTGGACACTTCGCCAACAGTAAAGGTTCACTATTCACTGCTGTTGTAAGAGGGGACTATGTGTTTACACTGAACAGAAGCATGACTCTAGAATACGTAGTGGAAGGTAAAACCTGGAAGCCTAGGCGGCAGATGAAGGGTTTCCCAAGAAGTGGATCTGTGTGGACATTTCTGCTTCAGCTGCCAAAAGCTCTCAGCCTGCAGTAGTGACACTGTCTGCTTTTTGGATTATCAGTATTATTTAAATTAAACTCAGATGGGGTTTTGTTAGTTTTTTGTTTATTACAGCAATATTACTATTTTTAATCCTGATGCATGCTCAATCATCCAGGTAAGTGAATAAAAAAGTTGACTGAACCAATAAAATGAACTCAGGTTTGCTCGGTAGTGATTTTATCTCTTTATGAAGTGCTACTGGTAAGAGTACATGTTTAGAAAATGGACATGTGAAACAAGCATAGTAAAAATGATAACATTTTATTATCAGCATTACCCACAACAACTGAACAAAATGTGTATGTTTTTGCAAAATTTCAAACACTGAATTTTATACAAGGTGCTCTTGCTACTCTGATTGCAGTTTAATTACTTCAGGTGCAGCTTTTCATTTTTTTTCTTGTTCAGTGAGACAAATCTCTTCTATTTTGGCTCACTGAACAAATGCATTAAATTTAGGTTCAGTTTCTAAAGTTAAAATGTGGAGGGCGCACGACAGAAGACCTGCATTTGCTGTGGATTTCACAGTCCTTGCTCTTTGACTCAGCATTTTGTGTGCGTGTGTATGTGGGGGGTCCTTTTTAGTTCTTATTATTATTTTTGTTTAATTTAATTCTTAGTTTGTCTGCTGTTTAGGTCTTCTCTATCATGTTTTCCTTTCTGGCTCTTTCTTGTTACTGTTGTATGGTGTTTTGAGCTTTGCATCATTTCTCTTGTAACATATTGCTTGGTTATACTCTCAGTTTAGTATTTAGGGTTCTGGTTATAATTTCCATGTGGCTTTTGTTAGTAAGAAAAAAAATGTGGTGCTTGAATGTGAAATATATAGTTTTTAATCCATAGCTAAGATTATTGATTCTATTTTTTTTATTCTTTCTAAATCCAGCCACACATTTTTCTCCTATTCATGTTAATGGGATAATGGTACATGTAAACTCTTATTTCCAAGTGAATGAAGCATCCCCAGGCAGCTCAGCAGACAGCAGCAGACTGTATAAAAGTATAACAAACTGGAAAAAGGACACAAAATACCTGACATGCTATTCATTTTCATAGTTTATTATTTATTATCAATGTATATGTTTAGAAAAACAGAATATAAATATGGAGTAAACCCAGTCACTTATCCAGGCCTGACACTGAACTAGGATGGACACCTGTCCAATAGACTGGCACTGGTAGAAGGCAATGTGCCTTCTACCAGTGCACAAGAGTCTTGGAACAAATGCAATGATTTAACAGAGAAAGTCCCATCAAATATATATGAGGAAATCCAGTCTAATGAAAAATGAGATAAATGATTCAGGCTATCTTCATAAGGGGGGAGACTGAAGGAAAACCTTGACCCTTGTTTTGATCCAGGTGGTCAATGTGGACATTGTGGAGGACTATAAATACCTTGTAGTACACATTGACAATAAACTGGACTGGGTTAAAAACACCACTGCACTCCACAGAAGGGCCAGAGTCGACTCTATTTTCTGATGCGGCTGAGGTCCTTCAACATCTTTTTGACAATGCTCAGGATTTTCTATGAGTCTGTTGTGGCCAATGCCATCCTCTATACTGCAGCGTGCTGGGGCAGCAGGTTGAGGATTGCAGATGCCAACAGACTAAATAAACTGATCCGCAAGGCCAGTAATGTTGTGGAGATGGAGCGAGACTCCCTTAGGATAGTGTCTGAGGGGCAGATGTTGTCAAAGATAAATGGAATGCTGGATAATACCACCCACCCACTCCATGACATGCTGGCTAGTCACAGGAGCACGTTCAGTGAGAGACTGAGATTTCCAAAAAGCACCACTGAACCACACAGGAAATCATTCCTGCCCATGGCCATCTCCCTGTACAACTCCTCCACCTAATGCGATGTAGACTGAAATAGTTACACCTTTTGCACAGTACCTTTGTACAGTAAAATAGCAAATGACAATGTTCACAGGTTAGAGGTACATGTCAATCATATATATTTCACCTCTGTGATATTCCCACCCGTCTAATATTCTTGATATTTATAATTGAGCGCTTTGTATATATTGGTGCTATTTCTTAAATGTGTTAACTCTGTAACATATTGTATTAATTAAGTAGTTTAGTCTATTACTGTTACTGTCTTGGAGCAACTGTAACCCACATAATTTCCTTAGGGATTAATAAAGTATTCTGATTTTGGATCTCAGGTACACAGCCTTATTTTGAGAAAGACTGAGAACAATAATGTGAGAGAGTAACAGAGCTGAGGTGGGAGAGAAACGACAATGTTAATTGTGTCAAATACAACCCTGGGACTGTTCCTAATACTATCTTCTTATAGATCTTCTGTAATGGTAAATGTGACCAAGAATAAGGGGAAGGCCAATGTCTGGTCTGCACACATGGGAGGACGCTCTATGTGACCCCCGTCAGCTTTAGTCTGGGACAGAAGCCAGGACCCAGCCTAGGTGATGGATGAACGTCTGTCTATAGACATTAATCTTGTCATGAGTGTTGGGGGCATGCTCTGTCTGCTCTGCGTCTCTGCAAACACACATGAACCAATCCTACTACACACTTTAAACAAACAAACAAGAAAAACAAAAC